TTATGTTACACGCTGCTCATAAATATTTTCTACAGCACTTCAAGTTAGAATTAACAAGACCATTAGTGTGACTTATTTTACAAATATTCAGGTATAATTTCACTCCTCTAAAAGAAATTGATGTAAAAGAGACAGTCTATCAAGTATAAACTATTCACCAAAGTCATAAAAACAAAAAGTATGCTTTAATTTTGAAATATTTTTATGTAGTCTTGTTACATGAAGTAAAAAAGGACATCATCCTTGAAATCTAACACAGCCCCTCCTCCATACTACTTAGACTGGTTACTACCAAGAATAGCTTAAAGAGAAGTTAGTAGGAATAAACTAATGTTTAAGTACTAGTAGTTTAATAGGAAACTTATCCTGTATACAGACTTAAAGCACAGATTTGACAAAGAGTGAGTGTTATGTTTATGTATCTTTTGAGGTTGGGGGTTTTTAGATGGTAGAACATAAAATGGCAGCATCTGCTATGAAACTGCTGTCCAATGGACACTTAAATAGGCAAATAGAAAAAATTTATAAAGATAGCTAGGGTCTGCATAAATAAGAATTAAAACTCTCTCCAGCACCATCCCTCAAACAAGGTTCAGAAGAGGCAAAAGAGGTGACATGACAAGCTGGGGAAATGTATCCAAAGATCCTTCAGAGGTGGATACAGCTGCTGGTGTGTGTGTGTGTGCAAGTCAACCATTCATTATCATCATCTCTTCCTTACAGGTATTTCCACCTCAATTACCTGACAATGCCTTGGTTGAGATGCTCTTTTCACTAATGCTTATGCTGGTTATAGTTAAACAAACTAGAAAATTCTATTTTTGAAAATGTGCCCTAGTTTTAGTTTTGTGAGATGATATCTTCTAAAATGTGGAAGATAACAGGAAATGTTGAGCATAGGGAGTAGCTGGTCAATAAATATAAATGGCTCAGAAAAAAAAGGTTGAAACATAATAATTAGAAATCAAGTGTAGTCATCTTCTACTGAAGCATCTCAAAGTCAGGCAAAGCCCTATTCTACCGCTCATGATAAACGCAGGTTTTCAGGGCCACTTGCTCTTATTTTGGCTCTAAGTTTCATACTATTTAGTGCATGGGGGATATTTTCCTCCCTTCTACCTTTCCCCCTCCCATGTAAGTCTATGACTTTTGTAGGCTTGCCATGGAGTTAACTGACTGCTGATCCTTAGTGCCAACAATGGAGGAAGATAATTCCCAACTGTTTTGGGATTTGGGAAACAAACAACTGTGGGTTAAGTTTAAATAGCAATAGAGAAGAGAGAATGGCTAAGACTTTCCTAGATTAAAGATCTTTCCAATTCAGGCTGTATCTGTAATTAAACTGATGAGAATGTATACCTTTAGTTCCCTTACTTTTGGAAAAGATCCCAAAAGTCCTTTGAGCAGGTATGCCATGGCAACTGAAGTGGTTAGCAAATATACAAGGCTTCACCATACATCCTAGTATGAAAGCAACATAGAAATAATATATGTACATATGTATATAATTATGTATAAATAATTATGTGCGCATACTAATGTACTTAGGAAGGGGAAAACATAAAACTAATTGAACACATAAAATTATATTCAAAATTCTCATATGACTTTTAAAAAGAAATTCCTAAACTTAAACTATTATAACCTGCAGCAACAAGCAGCACTGGTCACATCTAAAGCTGTAATGCAGTATTACCCCCTTAGTACAGTCAGATTCACAGACATTTGAGCAACTATAGTATCAGAATGCCAGCCAATCCCAAATTCCATCAGGGAAATAAAAATATATTCATTGACTTCCTCTCATTAACTGAAGAAACAGGCTTTGAACAATGCAACTGATTAACATATGAATTGTTTTCTTATGCTTTAGCTTCAAATTTTTACTTCTTTAGGGATCAGTAATATCTTAGCAAACAAATGCTCCTGACAAACCATCTCTGTACAATGCAGTGGTACCAAGTGTGTCAGAATGAAATTTTTTACTATTTCAAGGAAGCTGCAAAAATGCTAAGAAAAACAAATTTATGAATCAATTTTATTTTTATTTGCATTTAACATGATTATACACATTCATGTGTCTAACAAGATCTGCACTGTTACATTAAAAATACAGTACAATAACATTCAACATGAGGTACTTCATATTTATATATTTTCCTTCATAAATAATGCTGTAAGCTACTAAATTCAAGCACGCTGATGCACAAATGGCTAGTGACTTGAATTAGTCGAGCTTATTTCAACACTTAAAAAACAAAAAAGACAGTTCAGTGCAATAATTATATAGAAATGAGACCATTTACTTAAATACTATATTAAGATATGCTTAAAGAATGTTACATTAGAGCTGCTAGCCTAGTTCCCCATTATCCCCAGTATGAATAACAGCAAAGACTGCCAGATACATTGGAAAAAGCATTTACAGGATATTTTAATAAAATTGTGTTTATACACTAGAGTTGCCTGCCTTGTCAGAACAATAGTTTCTACTTTTAAAAGCTACAAAATTTAAGATTACCAAAGAAAATAAAGCAAGCACATTAGCCTTCATTCCATGTAGCTCAAAATGCAGAAGGGAGACTAGGATTTAAAATTTATTCTAAATACAATTTTCAAATTTAACCCACAGCTCTCGTCACCAGCCAATCAGATGGCAAGTGTGTCTTTTCTTTAGGTAAAAACGATCATACAATTAGGTTCTTCTGCACTCAGTGTACAGGATCTCATGGGGAGTTCACATGGAGGGCAACTAGCTAACAGGAGCATGGACAGTGAGTGTTATGGAATGAACAATATTCACTCTAAGGTTGTCACACTCACCACACAATCTGATATGATGAACTTAGTAATAAACAAAGTTTCTTCTCCTCTGGCTTAAAAATGAGTGCCTTGTAATCAGGTATATAGTCTACCAATTTGCATGGTAGCTATGAATTCCTGAAATGTTTAATAATAATTATTTAAAAAATAATTTGTACAAGTATTTTTTTAAATTGAAAATGTATGTTTATTTCATAGATCCTTTGCCAACACTACTATCTGTTTTTTCTCTAATAAGAAATAATTTTTAGATAATTTGGGAAAGTTGTCCTGGGAGTACTCATTTATAAACACCAGTAACAGCTTTTGATCATCTATGCTAAGAGACATAGGTAATGGCAAAGACAATTAAAACACTTCCCATAATCCAGTGTTTTCCTCCATCAGAAAAGCCAGCCAAAAGCAGCAAGCCCTTGTTTATAGGGGAAGAAGTGGCCCAGAAACACAGTGAATATGCTAAGGGCAGTCACTGACTGGGGCCTTGCTGGGGCCAGCAGGGGGAACATTTCTGTCCCACCTCTCACTGGCCAGGCAGGGAGGAGACAATTTCTGAGTCGGCAACAACCTGCATGCACATGGGTGCCCACGCACACACACCACCCCAGGACTAACCCCTGGCTCCAGACAAGCCAGCTTCAGGCTTACAGAGCAGGAGAAGGAGGTGGCCAGGGACCACACTCTGGGTGGCAAGGGAAGCCATCTCAGGATCACACTGAGCAGAAAAGCTGCCCAGAAACACATAGATACTTCAACTGGAAGTGAACACACTGGACACTACCAGGGTCACAGGCACTCAACCATTACAAGCCATCGCTGAAGGAGAATTTTTTTTGATAAGCTTTTCCCTCCTTTGTTTACATTACCCAGGGACAAATAAGAGAGCTGGATGTGCTGGATGTGATGATGATGCAGTGACTATTAGGCCTGATCAGGTGCATCGCTCCAGACCATTTTTTTTTAAAAACCCTGCAGGAATATATTGGCACTTTAAGATGGCCAGAGGCCAGATTCTAGCATTCCAGGAACAAGACAGAATTATAATTAACTAAGAAGGTAGCAGTGATCAAAGTAAAACAGGGAAAGTATATTTCAGATTTAAAAAATCAAGGAATAAAGGTATCATTACAGGAACATGTAGTGCTACAAAACTAATTGTTTTTCATTCATCTAAAGAATTGTTTGGTCCTCTTTTCATAAAAAAAGGGAATAGGAATATATACAGTACGACTTGGAAAACAAGCAAATGGTAGGGATCAGAAGCTAAGTGGTGAGAAAAGTGTTTGACTTTTTCAAACTGTGCATTTTATTGTGCCATCAATTAATCCATTTGAAGTATGGGACTTTTTTAGGTTTCATTTCTAAAATGTTCTAGTTTAAAATAATAGACATGCAACTTCTTTCTAATGACAAAACTTTATAATTTAGTTACTTCTAAAAAAGTGTCTGTACTGCAGTACTTTGCCTTCTAATCTATAGAGCAAATCTGCTTGTGGCAGAAGTCATGGTCTAAACAATCATCCAAATCCTTATTTTCACACCCTACACTGACACTTTGCAGTGTTTAATATGTAACAATCTTATGAATGTAGGATTTAAGAAAAAGCCATTCCCAGAAGTAAAATATTTAAAAGGAAAATAAAATAAGAGCTAAACATGATTACTGTTTACTTTCTAAATTATTACTTATTATGAAACAAAACTTTTTTCAAAATTGTACACTGAGGTTTATCTGTTTCTTTTTTTGGGGGGGAGGAGACGGTGTTCTGTTTAAAAATAACTCTTGTCATTATTATTTTATACTATTTACTTTTATTTGTCAAAATAAAACCCTGAAGGAAATTTGAGGTGATTAAAAATTTTTCCTATAGGGACAACACTGGGAGGTCAATGGGGCAGTTGGAAAAGAGCACACATTCTCCCCAGCTGCACAGACAAACGCAATTCTAAAAACCACAAAGCCCTAATAAGAACTTGGCTCTTTGAAGCATAGAGTTAAAAGCCGAATGCTGCATTTTTTGCCTGTACATAATTAAAAGGTTGAAAGAAATTAGAAACTGCCTACAGCTTCATTCATTACAAATTACCTGCGCAGATCATATATCTGCAGATGAGCTAAGCATCAAACAAGTAGGAACCAGATGTGCACCTCAGAGCCCACTCTGCTTCAGGAAGTGTTTTCAAGCATAGAATATAAGTTCAGGAATCTGCCCTCCCTGTACCCCAGTGCCATTGGTGCTATCCGAGGAGCACTGAAACTGGACAGTCACTTTGCCGCACTGAACCTCTGTCATGCCTTCCTGTCCGAAGTAGCTGAGTTCGTTGCCGTCCAGTATCACGCTGGCTGTGTAGAAGGTGTCTGGCTCGATCTGCACCGGATACTCAAACCACACAGGGAAGGTATTGCTGGAGCCATCGGAGAAGTACTTGCTCAAGTTCTGCCCCAGGACAACGCCCTGCCGTTTGAGTTCGATCTTGGCACTGTACTCCGCAGAGCCACAGCTGGAGCCATACAGCCCGAAGCCTGCGATGAACACTCTCTTATCCACTGCGAACTGAATGCTGTCACAGCGGCCCCGATAGCGCCACTGGTTGCTCCGATAAGCACAGGACTGGAAACGGTGACAGCGCTGGGGGACGAGACCCTTGCGGGCTTTGCTCACAAACTGCAGCTCGGGCTTCTTGGCCGCAGTGTACCAGAGGAAGATATCGTTGGTCTCATTGAGAGTTAGAACTCCGGACTGTGCAGCACCATTTGCAAAATCATCCAGAGCCATCGTAGGTATTCGGATCAAGTAAAGTGCCTTCCCGAGGACCTTACGTTTATTTTCAATGCTCAGAGCTAGATCTTGCCTCTGGCATTCTACTTCAGCCCAGTTGAGAGCTGCCTCAAAAACGACGATTTCTTTGGCATTCAGAGTTTCCCTGCGGAGGATACTTTCCAGTGTCTGGAAGTCGATGTCGCAGAATCCCTCAGACTTCAGAGCTAGCTCAGCCTGGGCGTCGATCACCTCCCAGCAGCGCTGGGTCAGGTCTGGCTCCTCGAACAAGCAGCTCTGGGAGAGGAGCACACAGGCGTTCTTGGCACTCAGGCTGGTCTCCAGGAAATTAACACAGGCTCTGGCAAGGTGAGGGACAATGTACTTTTTGGCAGCATAAAGAGTAGCCAGCACCGTGTCAGCAGCCAAGTCAATTTCATCACAATAGATATATCTGAAAGAAAAAAGGACAAGCACATAAATGGAATTTCACAAAATGAGTGTGTCCAGCAAAGAAAGATGCAACTACTTTCAAGCTAGTTCAAAAAAAGTCATCTTAGATGACCAAAAATGATTAGGGATTAAAAACAACATCTGAAATATATTCTTAATTTAATATCAACTTAGTTTACATAATTAAAGATATTAATTTTGTGTTATCATTCTACCCTCTATGCATTTAATAATAAAAAAAAGATATTAGAATGGCCTATCAGAGATTTTTAATATTTAAAAAAAAGACCAGCAAACTTCTATTACATGTACTTTTTTATATTAAATGAAAAAATAACTCCCCTCTGATTTAGAAGCATTACATGTTTTACTTTAATTTTTTCTGAACATAGATAGAAACAAATGCCTTTAATACTATAATGTTAGCAATGTTTCCATCTTGATACTTTTAATTAAGATATGACTGGATTTCTCCTAAACACAAAATAAACCTGAGATTAAATAAGATATTTTTCACCCTAACTGGTTGGCTCAGTGGATAGAGTGTCAGGCTGCAGACTCAAGGGTCCCGGGTTCAATTTAGGTCAAGGGCATGTACCTTGGTTGCGGGCACATCCCCAGTAGGGGATGTGCAGGAGGCAGCTGATTAATGTTTCTAACTTTCTCTCCTTTCTTCTCTGTAAAAAATCAATAAAATATATTTTAAAAAATAATATATTTTTCAAGTAGTTCCAACTTCATTGGGTTATAAAATATGGACTTCAATGCTCTTTTCTAGTTACCTTTCCATAGAATCTAATGCAGGCTTTGTAATTGGCTTCTTCTTCTTCTTTTTTTTTTTTTTAACTCTTAACTTTTTGTTTTCTCCCACACATTCTTTTCACCTTCAGAATTAAATAATATATTTAATTAAAAGACAAAGTAAGAAAGCCTAAATATGCACTACTGCTGTGATTGTGTAATGCTTTGGGAGACACTGCATTCTCCCACAATGGTATGTAAAGGCGGAAATCATATTCTTCTTTTAGGTTGCTATGGTTCACCAAATGAGTCAGAGAGAACTACATATGGGTGAAAAATACATGCTGATAATACTTCATTTTTAAATCTTTCTAGCTAAGTTACACATACAACGATGGCAATGGCAATAAGAAAAATATCCACAATCACGAATGAAACAGGCATTTTTGATTCCAGAATGCTCCTTCTCTTCTCTGATAGGCTAAGCCATCTACCACTGGCAAGACCTCCTGACACAACTCCTGCAGCTTACAGATGCTGTAGCCAGAAAACCAGGACCTTCGGGAGGCTTCTGAAGCAGAGTCAGCACTTTGACTCTTACCCTGAGAAGTCTTTCCTTTTCCTTGACAACCCATTGAAGGAATCCTAGCTACTCACCCAACAGATAGGCATGAGGAAAACCTGGCCGCCTCTGTCCCTGAACAACATGGTACTGATATCTACAGCATGACAGCAAATGGCATCTTCCTACGTCTCTGATTTTTACCACTTTACATGGATAGCCTGTCTAATTTTAAAAAGCTACACTGAGATATATTCTAGACAATCCATTTATGAGAAAAGATGCTTGTCAACTGACCAATCAAATTACGTAGGTGATGCTCACTCATGTTTCCTAATTGTGTATATATCTGGAACAACACAACACTCTACTCCACTGTAGTAACATCAAAATGCTGAACCAGCAGCATTCCCCTCTGCAACACATAATATACAAAGCTGTCTTGACTTGTGAAAATAAAGAGAATCTTGCATGTAAAATTGGTTCCTATACTTATATCTCTAAAAGATTACAAAGCAGTTAGTAAAAAAGTGGTAGATTAATTTATATTTTGGCACTTCACATGTTCACTTGCCTTTAACTTCCCTACCTTCTGCTGTGAAAGTTTAAGCCAGTAGTAATTAGATTTCAAAACTATAATGCAAATAAATAAATTATCTTTAAGTTTTAGAATTATAAGAGTAAACTGCTTGGCCTCTCTGACTATCATGTTCAAGCCTACTTTGTTCCCATGGCCTTTAGGTTAACCGCTTCTTCTTGCATATAGACATGCTACTCATTAGAGCAATTCTGCTTGTGACTTTAGTTGTGCAAAATAAGCCCCTTACCAGAGACTGCCTCTCCCAAGGAGATGAAGGGTGAACAAAAACAATGTTTGCCACAGATTTGCAGAAACCTAACCTTATGACCAGACTCACATCAACTAGAGTCAACAGACTAAGAACTAAGAAGTTTCCCAATCTTTCTTGAACCCCTGCTAGTGCCTAGATGTCTAAATCATCAATCACCTCTTGCCTCTCCGTATTTCCCTCTTCCCTAGAAATAAAAGAAGCCCGAATTCTGTACTTCCTTAAAATGGTTGTTTAAGGACGTTTGCCTGACATCTTCTTGGCTTTCTGAATGAAGTCACTGTATTTGCCCCAACTCCTTGTCACTTAACTCACTGGCTGTCATGCACTGAGCTGGGACTGGGTTACAAAACTATCTATACTACTTATTTTTTGTTAGGTCAGCAGATGATAAAGAGCAACATTTTAACCATTTGTGGGATTATGTTGACTTGTTGACCCATTTGAATAATTTTTTTTCAACAAACATTATATTTATTCTAGTGAGCTGAAATTCCTACAGCAGCTGATAACTTTGAACTCCAATATACCTGGTGTGGTAAAGTAAGTAACAAAAAAATTATATAAATATGATTTAGAATCATAAAAATCATGTTGCTTTTTAGTAACATGGTAGGTTATAACTACCTAACACCAGTACATGTAAAGATGTGCATTCTATTTATCTCATTAACATGTATTGGATTCTCAAAGACCCATCCATGAGATATAAAACTATTTTTAATTAATATATATCTTATAACTTTATATTGCTATATTACCAATTAAAGTTATTCTGTATATATAGAGAACTATAGAAAACTATTCATATCTCTTAAAAATTTCTCCTCTACTATCATATGTAAGTTCTTCTTATCCTTGAGAAAGGGTATCTGATTTTATGTAAGAGTATACTTATGTGTATGTGCAAATATCAGATAAGTTTTATATTTGCTGGTAGAACAATAAGTCCTAAAAAATGGAGGAATCTCTTAACTGGTGGAGTTAGACAAGGTATATATTTCCAGAATTGTGAAGCAAAAACGTAATTTGCCTTTAAAGAGTTCTTCACACACAATGCTTTTAGAAAGGACATCCTCTATTAGATAATGCTTATGCCAGAAAGTTTTTTTGCCTTAATTCTAAGTTGTTAAAAATCAAATCACAAGCCACTTGCTCCCAAATCCCGTGCTATGGTTTGATTATGACTGCATCATTCCCATTTTCCAATGAAAGATACAGTTTTCTCCAAAAACATTTACAAGGTAAGCAGCACCCTCTTTCTTCATCAGCCTCCCTTTCCTGTTACACAGAACTTAAATTTAACTGTGAAACCAGCAGAGTACAAATATGGCATAAACAAACTCTTTCCAAATATACGAATGATGCTTACTTCAGCATAGCGAGAAAAGCAGCAGGTTCGACATCTGGTATACGGATTTCATCTTTGTCCTCAGCAAGTTCTCCGTAAAACATTGCATGGAACACAGAGCTCCCAACAGCTAAAACATACTGTGGAGAAAGGGAAATCTTATTTCACGCTCTAAATTGAAACATTTTCAGCAAATCAGCTCAGAAAAACAACTCTAAGCAATCGGGTTTAGTGGACACGGAGCACCTCTACCTGCTTTTTTGTCAAAGCAGAGGTACAGTGTATCTTGCTGCGACAGTAAAAGATAAATGTTCATGCAAATCAGTCTCTATGCTGCTAATTATCTCAAGGCTTTAACAGATTAATGCACAAGTTCCCTCATTACAAAATAAATACAAGAAAAGCTTATCTGACTGACTTCTAGGGGAAGAGCAAACATATGACTCTCCTAACCTGTCACAACAAGTCCCCATGACCGGAGAGTTAAAAGGGCATGTTTTTGTGTGCGCTGTAAAGCAGGGTAAAAGGAACAAAGAAAAAAAAAAAAACTAAGCATGGCCAAAGCCCTTTGGAGAGGCTGAGCTTTCACAGTGATGGGGTGAAACATGCACTGCCTGCCATCAGCAAGCTGCCCACCCCAAGTTCCAGGCTGGCAGACAGGGTCCCTCTTTGTGAACCTCAGGACTAAACTGGTAATGCAGCTGTTGCTTACTTTGTGTCCTGGCAACCGCTGAGTCCCACCTGGTGGCCCAACCACAAAATGTACATCTGCCATCAAATCATTATTGAACATCACCGCATTTCTAAAAACAGAAGTAATTCATTAATTCACACAGCCAGCATTCTCAATACCCCCTCCCCAATGTACAAAACACATAAGGAGATTTGCAAGCTAAGCAACAATTTAAAAAGTTCAGGGTAACACTACAAATAAAGGTTCCAACTAAACAACTGTGTTTGTAATCATTGCAAGCGCATGGGAAGTAACTGAAGTTAAAAAAAAAAAAAAAAAAGTTATCCAAACTTTTCATCAGACTAAGGCTAAATAAAAGGTTTCTGTTTTCTGTGGCCCACAGACATACCCCTGTCACTTAAATGTTACAGCTTGCAAAAACATTTTATCTAAGAGGAAAACAGCTGTACTGTTTTGGAAAAGGCACAAGGCAGTTTTCCATTACCAATAAAGCTGCTGGGAAAAGAGGAAACACAGATTTATGTTAAAATACAGTATGGGTTGTGCAAAAGCAGAAACTTCAACACAGGAAAACTTTTAAAGTAAACATGCTGGCCCGGCACTTACCTTTCCCTGATGGTAGGATAAAGACCCTGCCAATTCGGGGCCGGAATAAGGTTGTTGTTACTGAGGTTCTGCTGGTGGTACTGCTGGACAGAGGTGCTGCTGGAATTGGCTGGCTTTTTGCGGGGAAATATATCAGCAGCCATCTTCTTCTTTTTAGTCTTCAAGGTAATTATTTCATAACAAACTGGAGACAACTTGCTGATGCTGCTGCTGCTGCCGCTGCTGCTGCTGCTACTGCTGCTACTGCCGGTATTTGTTTTCTTCGAGCTCTTCTTGGATCTATTCTTTACCGTCTCTGGAAGCATCAAGAAGAAGGTGAGACATTTCATGTTCTTTTCCTTGTCATCTACCATGAGGACAGGATGTCTCTTTAGAGTTAGATATCCCAAGATGGTACGAACATCAGGAAAAGAGGCTGGCATGAGCTAAGACGTTCACAGAAACCAACAAGCTGATATTTTGCTTCTTTTCTTAGCCAGGCAAGGTGACCTTTTCACTATGTTGAATAGTAACTGGCTTTAAGTTTTATCCAGTACTGGGTCTGTTAAATACATGCCCGTCATGATTCCTGTTTCTCTTACTTGCTCATAAAAATAACCTAGTTTCCTGGATCACCTGAAACTGCTACAGTGAGCGAAGATGACAGGCAGAGAGCCTCAGCACTTGTTTTCTGAATTAGGTTAGCAAGACGCGCTGGAGCCGTGCGAGTCTGTTCAGCCGGCTGAAGTTGTGTGGTGAATGGATCTGAGGAGAGTAGGTATTACAGCCCTGCAGATGGAGTCAGACAGCCAGTGCTCGGAGCCAATAGCTGAAGTCACCAATCATGATTGGACCAAGCAAAACAGTGACACCTATTGTAACGTGCACAGTTCTGGTATTAAAGGAACAGCAGTTACATTCTCCGGTCTACTGTATTATTGCATATTTAAATAAGATAAGCAACCCATGAAATACATTTGAAAGCAGGAAGAGTTTGTGCTCACAGATTTCTCTTTAGTAACTGTAGATTTTTATTTCCTCAGTTAAACAAACAGGATCTATTAACAAAGGGCAGGGACTCATGTCTACTCTATATTACTAATAAATTCTTTATCCGGCAGCATTTAGTTTCAAATACTTAAAACGAAATTCTCCATTCTACCAGGTACAAAGAATTATTAACAGCAAAACCATAATAAACATACTTATCAGAGCTTAGTGGGGAAAATGTTATTTTTCTTTTTCCGGTCTCTGAATGTAAGTTATAAGGGGGGGGGGGGGGAGGAGAGAGAGAGGAGAGAGAGAGAGAGAGAGAGAGAGAGAGAGAGAGAGAGAGAAAGATGAGGTCATGTATTCATCTTACCTCCCAGTGTTTTCTAGCTCCTATAATGATTTTTGACAGGAGTCCCAGATCATAACATACTGTTAATTAGACTAAGATTATACCAGTAAGCTTAACAGCACTGAAGCACAGACAAATTCTAGATGCAAAAATAAGATTCAAGTGAGACAAATCTAAATCTAGTAATCAGTGTTTCAAGGTTGTAATTCACTACAGTATGGTGATTGCAGGGGGGAGGGAGGTGGTGGAGGTGGAAGAGAATATAGGGGTGATAGATGATGATGGGGAAAAAATAAAGAAAAAATAAATGAAAATAAAGGGAGGAAAAGGGTTATAATTCACTATAAATATGTCAGATGGGGCTCTGTTCAGGATTTCAAAATGCAACTGAAATACTATGTTTACATTTAGCTTTGTCATAATTTTTAAGAATATAACTCACAACTTCTAACACAAAACAAGTAATATGGCTATTCAACATGATAAATGTTCTGATGCCACCTGGTTAAAATGTAAACAGGTTCTCTCTACTTTGAATCAGAAGACTATAAACTACTATCTGTTTTTTATAGCCAATCCTCCAACAATGTCTAGCTTTAGTGGGTTAAGGAAAAACAAAAACACCTGCTGTAGGTTCCACATATGCTTATTATTTCCCAAAGGGGGGCTAATGAGGAGATTTAATCTCCTTCCTATCTACTTGTCCCCAGTGCAGCAGCCATTTCTACCCCCCAAGTGAATGCACTCTTTATGGCCACATTCCTGCTGGCTGCACAACACTCATCTGAATAAGGAGTCAGGAAAGAGAGATGGTTCAACAAATGGGGGCCTCAATTGTTATTATGACTGATAATCTAGCAACAATAACATACCAGAATCAGACTTCCGATCCTTAGGACCCCTAAGTCATTAATGGATCCAAGGAATATCCTCTTTACTGTCATTGTTATTCTTAAAACTGTTAGCAAAGCCACTGCTACGTAAGAGAACCAGTCTTTCTTTAGTAGATTATTCATCCCCATTTTACACGGACACTAAAAAAGCTGCTTTTTATTACGATTGCCATGTTTCCAACTACAGGGCTACCTACACTCACATACAAAATTTCAAGTCACCTTCAAACACATTTTAATACACAATGTGTGTGTTTGTGTGTGTGTGTGTGTGTGTGTGAGAGAGAGAGAGAGAGAGAGAGAGAGAGAGAGAGAGAGAAGAGAGAGAGGGAGGGAGGGAGAGAGAGATCTAGAAACTAGCTTTTCAAAGCATGAAAAAGAAACAAATGAGTTCCTTTTTGAGCTAAGTGTTCAGGATATGATTTTTGAAAATTAAAGGATTTCTCTCTTGCTTAACCACTACTAACTTTTTGCCACCACCCTCCTAGGAAGCTACCATGACAGGGAACTGGTCCTTCTGACAGGTCAGACAGTAATCATTAGAATGGAAAGGGAAACAAGCTGCTTTGAGAATGACATAGTATTAACTGGCATCTGAACAGTCAAAATAGAAAAAGCATAAAAAGCCGATACAAGAACTTAGAAGAGTCTGTGGCTGTTATTCATTTTGCATATAGTTCAACACTCTTTCCTAACAGGCCAGTTAGGAAAGAAAAATTATGTATTTTAGAAAATTTTCCTTCTGAAAATTGGAAAATCAAGTTTTGTGGAAAATCCCAAATCTGCGAGTTACCGTATTTTCCGGCGTATAAGACAATTTTTGAAATGAAAAGAAGTCAACCGAAAATCGAGGGCAAAAGAACAAAATTGCACAAAAATTAACTGCAGATCTTGACGGCAAAGTAAGTCTTTTCTTTGAAGTGGGGGGTAGTCTTATACAGCGAATATAGGCCTAAACCTATGTTTTAACTGTAAAATTAGGGGGTCGTTTTATACGCCGGAAAATACGAGTAGACAAAGTAGTGCTAATTCTGAAGCACCTAGAACAGTGCTGTGAAGAGGGGCCTTACTACTCATAGATGTGGGGCCTGATGAGCACCCTTGTTTACAAAGATATGGTCCTGGATATAAAAAGTAATCCGATTAAAAAAAAAAGATTGGCATTTAAATTATTGCAGCCACTTTGAAAAGCATGGAAATGTTAATAAAATGGAGACAATGGAAAACTTATGGAGCGTTATCTTTCCTTACCAAGGTCCTTGCTACTGAAATTAGGGCCCAAGGAGCAATGGCAGGAGCACTGTCTGCAGGCCTGCTAGAACCCAGATCTCAGCCAGATTCTACATTAGAATCTGCATTTATAAGACCCTTCAGGTGAGCTGTATGACACTGCAGTTTGAGAAAACCTTTTCTAGAACACTAAGGAATGTTGCCAGGTCTACCCAATTATCCAGTATCAACCTCTGGCATTGCATTTTGCATTCAATTGTCAACTGAATGAAGAAATAATTCAAAATAATTTAATTTGATTTGGACATGAAATTTAATAACCTTCATGTATTATTCTGAAATTCTTCTGATTAAGCTTAAGTGCAAACATTCAGGGGTGTAAAGATACAACTGAGAGCCCCCCCCCCCCCCACACACACACACATTTTTCAATTCTTGAAAAGAAACTTAAGCCCAGATTATCTTCAAGGACAAAAACAGACATGATTTTAGTGGGAAATAAAAGGGTTAAAAAATACCAATTGTGAAACAGATGCTACTTGATATTTTTAAATAACCTACTTCACAATTTTATTTTTAAAAATTAATGTCGTGGCACAGCAAAATTAGTAACCAAGTAATATGGTTCAGCTCTAGCTCAGCCACTAAAAATTAAGGTAAATATGTGCTGGGGACTGGGGAGTCCTGAACAAATCATTTAGCCTTTAAGAGCCTCCGTTTCCTCGGCTATAAAAAACCATGAAGTTCATCAAGAAAAGATGAATATTTCTCAAACTTTACACTCAATCCACAGCAAGGCATGCATTTTATATTCAGACTTAGGGATACACACACACAAATGGAAAGGCAGCTCACAAAATTAACTCTTAACCTGTTATGATATACTCTGAAATTTTGTTTTAGTCTTTTTTCATTTCCTTTGAATGTTGGTCTTGGTTCATTCCATTGGTTTCATGAGCACAGTAGAGTCTAAGTAACAATGGTCCAGATTATTTCTAAAGGTTTTTATGGTTTAACATCTCAGGGTCTTTTTCTATGAAGAATTTGGATTTGGTGCAATCAGGTGAGGAATAAGGCAAGACTGCATCAACTTCATGGAGCCCATGAAACCCCTCAGGTTGCATGCAAAATTGGGAGTGTTTTATTTATTTATTTATTTATTGGGGGGAGGGGGGGAGCTATAGCACTCATTTGTCTTTCAGAGTAATCCATGACCCAGAATACATTAAAAAATTTTTTTTATAAAAACATCTAAAATTGATTTGAATATACAAAATATTCATGTCACTTTATTCTCTGCTTTAATTTCTATAGCTTATCTAATTAAACACAAATTATGGCTTCTTAAATATAAATAGTTAAAGCCCCATTTATTAAATTTGTAACCCAAAAATACCACACACTGGATTGAAGGGTAATAAAAGATACCAGCCCTATTATCTATTGCCAAATCTCACCTCTGAAATTTATTTCCAACTAAGATTGTATCACTTATTCCTACACCTCCTAAATTTCAAGACTATTATGAGGGAGCCATCATTAATCTACTCTAATGAAGTAAATAATAGGTCAAGAAGCCCATCAATCTTTTATGAGAGTATTTTCAAAATACAACATGCTGATCATGCAGTATATTAAGTGTTAGGTACACAATGGTGAGCAAATTAGGAACTAAGCTTAAAAGGTTATTAGCTAATAATAGTGTTTCAGATGATTTTTATAATTGCCAGAGTTCAATTACCTTTATCTCTTTTTAGTCAATGCCCAATAATAACAAAATTATCAATTTAAGATAATTAAATCATCCTCTTCATCACTGGGAGGTTTGCCTGACATCCTACCTTTATGTAGTAGAATCTGGTATGTTCAGTTTGGGGACTTGAGTGAGGCTTGGAACTAGTAAAAGGGA